ACAAATTTCACGCTGCTCTGGGGAGGAAAACGTCGCGGCGCGCAATGAACTGGAAGTTGATCTGTCAACACTATCCTTATCTTCAGGGCAGATGTTTTTCATTTTTATTCAGCTTATAATTCCTTGCTAAATGTAGTATTTCTTCTCGATGTATTCGGTCTTTGATATGATTTAAATCAAATTTCTCGTCATTATAAATATCACGAGTACACATTAAATAGTTTTCTGGTTGCAATTTTCTAATTTCGACTATGCATAATGTATGCTTTACGCATGCACGCGTTGAAAGAAATGTTTAATAAAGTAAACAAATAAATATTGATTTTTTTTTTTTTTTTTTTTTTTTTTTTGGTAAATTTTGATACCCTTTAGATTATAATTGCTCTTTATTTCATAAATTACGGTTTCATATTTTTAATTTTATAATTTCTGCATGCCATTTTACCAGATTTAAACTGATGATCTATAATCTGGAAAAATCGATAATCCGGAATCGCCGAAGTTCCGTCGAGTCCGGATTAAAGACTTTTGACTATATATATTTCAGTTTCGTTACATTTTTATGTCTCTCGTTTTGATTATTACAAATACTTTTAATATTCATGACACCATCTGGCAGCAGACTGTGAAAATTGCTAACATTTGGGCATCCTGACTAAACAAATGTCCACAACTGTCCTTTATTTTTGTTGTTGCAGTAGTACTTCTTCATCTTATTCTTCATCTCCTTCATCTTCTGCTTCTCAAAAAAATTATGAGGTAAAGATTTTAAGTACTCTTTCTTTACTCTCAGCTTCAGTAATTTGACTTTTTCTTGGCATTCGATGTTCTATTTCTCGGTGCTTTGTTTCCAAATAAGATGACATTTTCAGGGGCTTATCTTCACTCATCGTGTGGGCTGAATATACAAATTCTTCTGGCTGCCTAATTCTTCTTTCACTTGCAAATTCCTCTGATTTCCTTTCTGGTAAATTTTTTTTCATCTATAGAGTTTAAACATGCTTTATCAGAAGACCTTTTATAATATTCTCCTTTCATATCTGAATTGTTTCTGCACATCCCTTACAAACGGTAGCCTTCTCTTGTTACAAAATTTCCTTCAGGCATGTATGGCACATTATCTTCAACTTGGTCATATTCAAGACCATAACCAGATTCCCAACCAGTGCTGTCTGTTAGATCATTTCAGTTTGGAAATCGCTTTCACTTTATAGTTAGTATTTTTCTATGCAAGGGTTTTGGACAATCATCTTTGCTTCTAATATGAAAGTGTTTATCATAGTCCACATCCCAAAAGTATGTCTTACCAACATTGCAGCAGTGTAAACCTTTGTTTTTGTTACATTTGCTTCGAACATATTTTTGATTAGTATAATCAGCTTCATATTTTGTCGCAGGATAGATTACTTGTTTTTCCATTTTTACTTTCACAAAATTTGCACTGCTATTTATTATTTTCTTTGTTTTATCTGCTTGTAATTTAATACAGGAATTTTCTTCAGTGCAATCCAACCCAGTAAATGGACAATCTTTTGCATAGCCGATATGCAAGGCATCACCGATTCTAGCACATGCAATATGTGGCAAATCTAAAAATGTTCATCTAACCAATAAGTCAACTAACTGGCTGAGCGGAATGTGGCACAATTAATACTGGAATATCTTTTGCCACTACACCATCAAATTTTTAATTAAAAAAAAAATGGCGCAAAAAACTTTTTATTGGACAGTTTTGAATTTCGAAACCAAATAGTCCCTTTCTGCAAGATGAAATATTTATTCCCAGGCCTTTCGCATCTGATTCTTTAAGCAGACAATGACACTCCCGTGTCAATCACTGAAGATGCAATATAAGAATTGTTAATTAAAGAATTCCTCAAGTATATATCAGCTGCTAAGGAAGAGTCATAAAGACCATGCAGGTTTAATGTAGCTTCTTTTTTATTCTTAGGACAATATTTCCTTGAATGGCCTTTCAATCCACCAATTTTGCAGGGATAGGGACAATATTTTGAAATATGACCAAAGAGATTGCATTAAAAACATTTGGGATCACCCTGATCATTACGAGTAGAAGTATTAAATAGTTTTTGTTTTTCATTATATTTAAGCATAGATGAACTGTCTTTTTCACAATATTTATAGTTTCTCACCATGTCTCTGTTTTGGAATCTATTGGGATTACTAGATTTCATTACTCCCAGAGTATTTTTAGAATCATCCCAAGGCCATAACTTAGAACTGCTTTTACTCTCATTGTTTATTTTTAGTCCTGATTGAACGCTTCCATAGTCATCTAATTTTCCAGCTAGTTCATTCACATTTACATATTTAGGCCATGAATCAATAAAATTTTCCCTCATAGAATTCAGAAACTGTCTTTTCAGTTGATGTGTTATAATTAATTCTTTTAAAGAATCAAAATCATTTATTTTTAATCCTGCTAACCATTCGTTAAAATAGTTATGAGTTTTGAAAACAAAACCTGTCCATGTATTTCTTTAATCCCTAATACGATTAACAAATTTCTGGCAAATTTTTCTGAGCTTAACATAATAATACGTTTTAATAATAACAAATATATACTCCTTAGCGTGTTCTTTAGATTCTATGGTGATCAGTTGTGTGATCTCAAGAGTAAAAGTCCTAATAAATGAAACCCACCTGTTTGGCTTGACGTTCAAATATTATTAGGAATGAAGATATATCTCGATCCTTTAAATTGAATTTTTGCATAAGATACATTTTTGGTTTTCTCGAGTGGTTATATTATTTCTCACTGATGTTTCGGACATTTATTTATTTTCGTTTAAAAGTTTTAGTTTTTGTAATTCAAATTTCTTGAAACTCTAATTTTGCTTGTTTTTCTAATCTTTCATATTCTTCTTTCTTAAGTCTTTCCTCGATAATCCTTTCGAAAACTTGTTTTACAAATAGTTCGTCATAATTTTTACTATTAGTGATGATGTTTTTAATCACAATCACAATCACAATGGCATCTGGTAGGACCGTTTCCTCAATTTCTGTCGCAAATTCAATTAGATTGCTTTAGCATCCTTTGCCAAGAAAAGGCAGCTTTAAATTACCTTTTTATTTACATTTAATTGTTGTATACTTATTATTGATATGTTTAATAACTTTAGACAGAGTTAAAAAAATTTTACTTTTTCTTTTTTGCACCAGACTCTTAATGGCATTCAGTCACAATAGATCGACATCAATAATCCCACCTCTGAAATTGCTGGCCTTAGGATTTTTCTCTTACATCCACTATGTGCATCTTTTTGTTTTTGCATTATTTATCAAGACAGAAATTCACAACCAACAACATCAGAATACTTTTTTCTACTGATTTTTAAAAGTACACGAGTAGTTAACATCATCTTTTGCGATGGTTAAGTTTTTACAGCTCTCGTTTTGATTATTACAAATGCTTTTAATATTCATGAAGACATCTGGAGGTAGACTATGGAAATTGCTAACATACCCAATTACAAATTTACATGACCAAATACATAATTACCAAATTTCAGAACAAAAATATAGCCTCCTTCCCAAAGAAGGTCTTATTTTTAAGCAAACCTAATATATAAAATGTAGACATAGAACAAAAAAACACTAAATGTTACCAATAGAAGCAAAGCAATTTATAGTTTTACGAATTCTTTTACAAATTTATGTTTAAAAGAAAAATATCAGGGAAAAAAATTGTTTTAAGATTTACACATACGCGATGTTCAGACAGCAAAACCACTTTCAGGTCAAATATAACAAATTTTACAATACAATATAATTTTTAGTAATAAAAATTACAGCTAACATAATTTTAAAAATTACAGCAATTCACAAAAAGTGAACAGTTGAAAAGTGCACAACAGCGTTTTCAATGTATGCATTTATTAAGTGTTCATGTTGAAACTACTCTATATTCAAAATTAGAATCTTATATGTTAAAAAAAAAAACCAAAAAGCAATTATCCAGAAATAAAAATAAGAAATTTCTCTCTCTAAAACACAAATTTACATAGCTGATCAACAACAATCGACCGACGAGTTCTGAATTCACATGACAACATCTAAGTTTTCTATAAATATATATCTTTTTCTTAAAAAACTTTGCTTTTATGCGTACTTTTTAAAATTGCTCATTCATCTCTTTTCTTCAAAATTAAGTTAACACTTTTTGGAAACAAAAGCAATCTACAGATTACTTTTATAAAATCACCTTTCCCTTAATATTTTGCTGTCAAAAGCCTAAATTCTTAAATCTGAGCTTTCAGTGATTAGTTTATAGCCCAAAGGGATTATTGCTGCATCATGATTGAGCTACTCGAAAGTGAAAATTAAGCAATTTTCAAACAAGAGGCAATTTTTGTCTTTTGCAAAAAGTGATAATCCCCCCCAACACACACAAGGGAAATTATATACTTGATTAGCTAAAATTAATTATAATCATTTATTTCACCTTAAATAAATGTTATCAGATAGTAAGTACCTTGAATGATATCGTATACGAAAATAAGACACTATCACAAATAGAATTCTAAATAATAAATAGAGTTTATTACCATCAATAACGTTCCATCAGATAGCTAATACCCAAATAACTCTGATTTATTTATTTATATATTTTTAGTCATTACTTACATTAAAGTAATGATGCAAAATATAAAAAGTACTATTTCCAAAAAATATGTTGATACTTCTCATTCAAATTCAAAATTTGAATGACAGGAATTACCTTTCTCCTTAATCTGGCATAGAAATTGAATATCACACTACCGTCTCCTTATTAAAAACATGTCTTAATCAAAAATCAAAACAATATATGTTTGTTTTAGCTTCTTTTTTTACTCCTAAAAGAAGATTATTGCCATGGAATTTGAAATTAAAAAAATCTTAAGGCTTCATGAAACACATTTTAGGTCGAATTTTTAATTATACATACTCAGAATACAGTTTCAGTAAAAAAACTTAAAATACATATAGAAAATACTTACTGAACTGGCAAAAGATCGTGAAGAACTAGAATCTCCACTAACAATAGAAATTGACAGCCCTTGTTTCTGTAAGAAGAATAATGACTAAAAAAGAAATTCCTAATTAACCACAAATTCTACAGACAATTTTTGCTTTGGCAAAAGTAAATAAGGTGATTGATTAACCAGAAATTTAAAATAGCCTCTCAAGAATAAGAATATATCATCATGCATGATATTAACTCACATAACATTCTTTTCTAACAATAAAAGTCAATGATAAATTGGCTGACTTCAAAAATATTTCGTTAACAAAAACTGAAATTTTACATTTGCAGAAATTTATGTAATACATGTTCACTCTTTTTAGATACTTCTACTAAAATTAATATTAGGAGATAATATAATTAATATTTCTTTAGTAAAAAATTATACAGTCAAAAGTCTTTAATCCGGACTCATCGGGACTTCGGCGATTCTGGATTATTGGATTTTCCGGATTATAGATCATCAGTTTAAATCTGGTAAGATGGCATGGAGCAATTATAAAATTAAAAATATGAAACAGTAACTTATGAAATAAAGAGCAACTATGATCTAAAGAATATCAAAATTTACAAAAAAAAAAAAAAAAAAAAAAAAAAAAAAAGCTTAATATTTATTTGTTTACTTTATTAAACATTTCTTTCAACGTGCGCATGCGCAAAGCATACATTTCGCATAGTCGAAATTAGAAAATTGCAACCAGAAGACTATTTGATGTGTATTCATGATATTTATAATGATGAGGAATTTGATTTAAATCATATCAAAGACGGAGTAAATCGAGATGAAATACTACATTTACTAAGGACTTATAAGGCAAATAAAATAAACACATCTGCCCTGAAGATAAGGATAGTGCTGACAGATCAACTTCCAGTTCATTGCGCACCGCGATGTCCTCCCCCTCCCCCCCTGCAGAGCAGCGTGAAATTGATAAACAGACTTCGGAATGGTTAGAGAAACAAAGAATATGCCTTTATCCATTTTTTGCAGCAATTCCACTTTTTGTTTGATGGACATCGAAACATGCTTTTGCTTTGCAGATCCTTTGGCAGCTCCAGAATCAGAAATTCTTTCTGACATAATCGAAAGTTCAAGCTTACTTTTATAAAATTGCTCTAACAGTCTGCAAAAAATAATAAGCCGGATCCAATTCAAAGATTAAGGAACAACACAATCTGCAACATTAACTGAAATAGATAATTAGATAATTTTAGCTTAGGTTACATCGTCCGTTATACATTAAACGCGCATGTGTAAACGAATATGTGCATGCGTCAACACACAATGCGTTGATGCATGAGCAGAAAGTTTGTAGCTTTGAGGTCGGGACTATAGATCATTCCGGATTAAAGACTTTTGACTGTATATATATATATATATATATAAATCTGAAAGGGTTCAAATTTTTATGATTGCCCAAAAAAAGCTTCTTTTTAATTTAATATGGTTTATCAATAAGGATTATCCATAGACATGGCACAGGTGGAATAGCAAAACATTTTATAGAATATTAGATGAATGTGCATTTAGACTAACATGGGAACATTATACAGCTTCTGCATATTGGAAAAATGAAAAAATATATAACATCATTCATTAAAATTATTTAATGTTTTTATTACACATAACATGAATTACCGTATTTGACGGCATATAAGACGCACCCTTATTTAGAAGGCCACACACAAAGAAAAAAGCGCGAACTTAAAATGTGGTTTTAGTTCTCATGTTTCGTAAAAGCCAAATAAACAATCATTGAATGCAATTACCAAACATATTTTTATTAAGGAAAATTAACAAACGGCAAGCTATTTTGAACATGATATGTAAATTTCAATAATGAATAAATGAATGAACGGCAAGCAATCAAACATAATACAAAATAAAGCAGAAGCAACAAAAAACACAGATTCAAGGAAAACGTTGCCTATCACGAAATTAGACTTTAATCACTTTCAAAACCATAATCCTTTTCACTATTATCATCATCGAAAATGAGAATCACTACTGTTTCCGTCATCGCTAGTATCACTTTCTCTTTGAATAATGCGTCATCTTCTGTACCGTCAAGAGCATTACTGATTCCGCACTTCTTAAAGGACTTAACAATTACTTCAGCCTTTACGTCCTCCCAAGATCTTTTCACCCACTCGCACACTTGTGAAATAGAGGGCCGGGGCGTGATGTGGCTCTCCCATCCACTTGTTCCATCATTCTCGCACTTTTACCTTAAATGGCTTATTTGCCGATACATGTAAAGGCTGCAATTGGCTAGTCAGCGCACCAGGAATGACAGCTATCTGTGTTTTTAATTCTCTCACTTTATTCTTTATGGTTTCAGTTCTATGGATGCTAAACTGATCCAAAACCAAAAAGAGTTTTCTTAAGAGTCCACCAGGTTGCCTCGCCCCTACGTTTTGTAACCACAGTTTCATTCCAGCTTCGTCCATTCAGCCTTTCGGATGAGCATGAACAATTACGCCCGTTAGAAGTTTTTCTCTCGAATATGAAAAACGGCGGTAGTTTTGTGCCATCAACACATGTTAGAACTACCGTATATCAGGTTTTTTCATGACCTGTGGTTTTTATGGTTATTGATTTAGACCCTTTAATACTCACAGTCTTGTTGGATGGTACATCAAATGTGAGTGGAATTTCATCCATATTTCCTATTTGACAGAACTCAAAAGAAGTTTTCTTGCGTGCATTTATAACAAACCTATGAAATGTATTTTTTCTTCTTAATCTGCTGGCATTTTCTGTGCAATAGTTGTTTTTGTGTGCATTGATAAACCTTGCCTTTTCATGAACTGTAGCACCAGCCCTCAGACCCTGAAAAGTTCCAATTCCCATGTTCTGCAAATCCTTTGGCTTCATTGATTATCATTTTGGTTGAAACATTCCAGATTTCCTTTTACCTATCACCCACACTTTTATGGCATTTTCAAGTTTGGGCCAAGACAGAGCTGGGCATCGAAGGTTATGTTTTTGTTTTTCAGCAGTTTTCAATTGATCTTCCTGCAGTCACCAAGTACATATAATTTTTTCGGTAGGTGGTGGACCGAAATGCCTTGCTGCTTGCTCTGTGTCTATGCACTTTGGTATAGTTTAACACTCTTAGTTTATACTGAATTGTCTAGCTTAATCTCTTGTTTCCTGTAGTCCTATTTTCCAGGATATATTTTTTTAACAAACAGTTTTAAGCACCAATACCGACACGTTTATACAGAGTAGCACCGATACCGACACGTGTGTCGGCTGAGTCAAAGAAAGTCTATGTAAAGAAGGAAAGGCTCCATAGACGTAATGTGACCATCGAACCTGTTCGAACTTCAACATCAGCTTCGAGCTTTGATGCTTCTTGGCGACAGATACTCATATTTCATGCATGCGCAAAATAATTATGGCAGATGTAGAAAAAAATATGTGTGTCTAGACCTTTATCCGGGCTAAAAATAGCATTCAGCATTGAAAGTTAACCTGCGTCCTTCTCATATAAGACGCAGGCAGGTAACTTTTTGAGACCAAATTTAGGGGAAAAAAGTGTATCTTATATGCCGTCAAATACGGTAAGAGCATTTTTATTTAAATCAATCAGATTTAAAAAGTTTTTTAAAAAATTTAAGAACTGAACTTGTTGTTTTTAAATATTTTATTAGTTAATAACAGACAGATTAAGTAGTAAAGAATAATACATTATGTTTTTCCGAATGGCAACAGACTCGAATAAAAACTAAAGCAATGCAAAATCATGTTTTGTGACTAATAGCCCTTTTGACTTAGTAATACTGTGATATATGTACAAATTAATATTCGTGTAATAAATGTACAACATTGGCAATAAAGGTCACAAATTTAACCGCTTGCCTGATTATTCCAAGTTATCTCGGGTTCGTATATATTGCAGTTGATTATTATCCCGAGAAAACTCGGGCGAAGCAGAATTTGTTAGTACGATTTCTTTTATCACGGTTTTATTCGGTCTGGAGGATATGAAAGAATATATTCAGCTTTGATTGGCAATTTGCCAAATTTTGTTGGTTGCACGATTCTTTTGGAGGGATTGGTCACGTGTTTCCTATTGTATAGTATACATTGGCTTATGGATTAGTAATGTATAAAGAAGGAATAGCATGCAGTTGAAAAAAAATAAAATGATGGCGATGATGCAAGATAGCGAAGCGATGATTTTTTCAGATTCAAGTGCATTTTATGAAGATGTTATTCCTGAAAAAAATGAATTTAAAAAAAAATCAAATCCAACAAGACGGTGTACTCTGTGATTCCCATAAAAGAGATTCCAGCAGGTAAGGCCAGTAAGGAAAAGAGACCAGATAACAGTGTACAGAATGTCAGGCATCATTTCTGTGTTGTCCCTTGTTTCAAAAACTATCATACAAAGATTAATATTTCACTTCTTTCCATTTGCCCGAGATAACTCGGGATAGTAAACTAATATTAAAAATAAATGCTTTTACACCTTCAAAAAATTAAAAATTCAACTTAAAACCTACATATTTTGATTTGTTTCGTTTTGTTGTATTTAATAATAAAATAAAAAAATGTGATGATTTTTTGCAATTTTTTTCAAAAAAATTTGTAAGGAAAGCGGTTAAATTTTGCCCACATTATTTTTTAGTAATGAAATCTAATAAAATTATTACATTTTGTTTCTGAAAAGAATTTAAAATTAAAGAATATTTTACGCTTAATATCAGAGATAAGCAATTATTACTAAAATTAAAACTTCTACAGATTAATAATATAACTTTTAAGGCAACTTGCTATTAAAACGGTCAATGAAACACAGCTTTTATAATAACCATTTTTATAGGTTAAATAAAGATTCCACATTTATTTTTGCATACTTAAATCTCTGAAATAAATAATTACTTTACAAGAAATAAGATTCAGATGCTATGAGGAAATTGGATTTCAATTACTAAAAATAAATGCAAAATAATGCATAATATGAAATTTTTTGAGGGGGGGAAATGAAGGTGCAACATATAAAGTGAAAATTTGAGTTGGAACTTTAAATTTATGATTCATTTAAATGAACTTAGTTCCACTTTTCATTTATAGATTTAAAAAAAAAATTATAACAAATTTTAATTGAAATATATTACATACATAAACTTCTGAAATCAATGCATACATTACATTTGAACATTTAAAAGCAAAAACTGATTACAGTACAACTTGGACAGGGATTTTGGACAGGGATACAGGAATTTTGGTACCAACTTATAATTCCAAATCACACATTTTTTACTTCTTAACAATTTATAGCCACAATTAATGAGAAGTAATATCACTAAGAGTATAAGTAAACATATTAACGCACACTACATTATTCCATGTGATAAGTTTAGACCACCTGCTCACAAGGTGAATTGTCAACACCTATGCTCATATTGCTCTGTAAGTTACAAAACATAGTACATATATATTCTGATGACTGTTTCAAAAAACTGTAACTAAACATTGCAATTTAGTGGAAGTTATGGATAAGTATGATGTTATGATTTGCTTTAGTTTTATTTAACAGAGACAAATTCTCTGCTAGCGTGGAAACATTCAACCTGCTTTGTTTTCTTATGTATAGTTGCTCAAAATTCTTGAAAGGCTGAACAAACTAATGAATTACGAGCTGTAAGATCAGAATATGTTCAAGTTAATCACTCCAACATAGTTTCATGGATCCCAATATTAGTCAGCACACTCATTACATTAACAGATTCAGGGACTCTGCAAAATGATGAAATGAAAAATACAACACAACTGTTCAACGGCACTTGTATTTAGGCAAATTTGCGAGTTCACGAAGATTACTTTTTGTTCCTATTTTAAATGCCATTAGAAATTTGTGACCATTGGAATGACTGCCATAAGTTTCTTGAATTTGTCTGTTAGATAATCTCATAGCTCAAGCTTGTATTAATTATGTTCTTTATATGCTGCATCCCTAACTTGTATCTGTTGATTTGTGATTACCTAACAGAATAAAGAGACATCTGTTCCTTTTTCTGAAGTCAGAATAACTGGCACAAGTTTGGCAGCACCTCTCCCAACTTTCATGGTCCAAGGGAAAATATATAAGTACCCAAAATAATGTTGATGTATATAAATATATGAAATTTTTCAAGATTTTCTATCTTACGTAAGGTTAAATGCTACAGAAGATCATGCTTTACTGCAGTGGCTCCCTTTATCTAATGACAATTTGTTTAGACAGAAGTTGATCAGTCTCATATAAGGGTGATTTTAAGCACATATTCATTCATAGCAGCTCAGCTAACCCCAGGTGCATTATGAATAGGTGATAGCTGCAGAATTACTTCAGTAGCACAAAATATACAACAGATAAAATTTTTGTTTATTTTTCACCAATGTTATATTAAATGATCATTTTTATATACTAAATCTTATTAGGTTCTATTTAATGCTAAATAGCCTGTTAAGTGATAATTTAGCAGTATTCACTCACTGTCGACTATGTAAATTATACATATATAAGCCCCACCCCACTCCATGCAGTTGTTTGTGTGCTAATATACTGGAGAACTTTTGTAACAGATTCATATTTATTTTATAGTAATGAATGAAAACAGATTAACATCTTAACTTTATGCTCATATGGAAAATGTGGTCAGCCTTTTTATTTAGCTGTTAAGTATTTAGTTATAGTTTATGAACATAAAAAACTACTTTTGTGAAGGGGTCGTTTTAGATAGGGTCATAGAAGAGTCCTGTATAGTGTAACAAGTATTTATTAACAGGTTTAAGTTACACACAGACATTACATTTAACTTTAAGAAAATTACAGAGCAAGAGTCTGATACAACCTATCAAGTGGGACACTTGGCTTTTACTGAAGTATTTCTCTGGCTACTCACCAGAGGGCACCATTGTTTTCACAGTTAGTGTAACAGTTTATGCTAAAGAATTGGTTGCACTTTTACTTACGCTTTGGTGTTTATCAACACTTTTCCTTGCTTAATTTATAACAACACATTAAAAAATATTCAATTTAAATATATGTATTTTTTTAGTTGGAGAAAGGACGGGGGATGAGCATCTAGCAATAGTAAATGGGATCCATGAGGCAAAAAAGGTTACCATTGCATTATGCAAAAGGCATTTTAAATTAACTCCTGTAGAAAGGAAATTTACAATATTCATATATTACATGTAATTTTACAACTACCATCAATCAATAATGATTTTGTTTAACATAATAATGATTTTGTTAAATAAATAATTTAAATACAGTCATAACACGTATTTTACAACTGTTCTAAAAAAATAACATACTCGGATTTGCTCCAAAACATTTGTTTCAACAGCTGATCTCTGCATATTTGAATTTGACTGAGCGGAGTTCATATTTGATGACAGTTTCTTCTAGAAAATCTAATACAAATCACTGTCCTACAGAAGAGGAGAAAATACACATAACTGTTAATATCATATTATAGATATAATTTTTAAAAAAATTTTAGGGATATATTTTCAAAGAAAGAAAAAATATGTAGAGCCATAAATATTGATATCGCCTAAAAATTTCACCTTCCCATCCCCCCAAAAACTTACTAGTATATTTCCATGTATAAATTGAGAAAATTTAGCATATTTTTTCTTCTTAAGTTTGGAACTTAGCTCTTATACGAGTTTGAACTGACTGACAAATAATTTAATCAAAAATATGAATAATTGAAAAAAAATATTTATTTTGTTTGATCATAATATACATAAATCAAATTTCTCAATATCACTTTCAGAATTATATATTCAAAAGTTTCTCAATGCTACAGACAAATCTGCCTGAATAATAGAATCTTCTACTAATGTTTCATGCCACCACCATCTGCCTTGCAAATAATGTGTTTACTTTTGTTTACAGCACTGTTGATGCTACTTTTTTTTTTTTTTTAACAATCAAATGTTGTTTCTGACCTATTTTACAAACTGATGAGATCTTGGCAGTTAGTGGATGATTTCAAAAGGGTGAGAACTTATCAATGCAGCTCATCTGATAAGTTTACATGATCAAGTACTCTAACTTTAGGCAACATGTAAATGGATTTATACAGCAAGTTTAAATTCAGCTCTCAAACAGGTTTTTGTATGGCTGAATTTTTGTAGCAAAGTTTTACCTCTTGGCTTATATTTAGAAAATGTGAAAAATAAAAAAATTATAATACACTTTTTCGGTCCTTTTGTTATACTGTTCAACAATAGCTTCATCATACAAAAAATATGACAGATTCTTATTAATATTACAGTGCATATTTTGATTAAGAAGTCAGAATTCCATCATCAAGTTCTATATTCTTTCATTTGAACATAACTTATTTTTGGTGGTATTGTACTACAGTAGATGTCTAGCTAACACGAAACATCAGTTCATCTTTCTCAACATTAAAGCAGTCACGTACGTAATTCTAATTTTTTATGAGCTTCTTCTCAGCTTCACATTACAAATGAACACAAATTAAATGTTCTTGTTCACAGATTTTAAAGCATCAAAAAGTTAGGCAGAGATAATAGGCATTAAGATTAAAAAAGCTTGATCTCCTAGAAAAAGGAACTAAGTTGTAATAATTTTCATAAAAAACAGTAAGAGTAAATATTAGTAATAATAGTAATAGTAAATACTAGTAGTCGTACGATTAGCAATATTACAGATTTATTAATTGAAGTTACTTTCACATATTTTTTTACCTAGTTTTTTTTTTTTAACAGATGATTTAAAAAACTGCTGATGACAATAAAAAATGTATGCACAAATAGAAAATTATTTTGTGTAATTTAAAAGATTTTATAAAGCCTTTTAAATATATGTTAGTGTATCTTTTTAATCTTTTATGTACGCTTTATAATATGCTACATTTCTCTTTTAAACTGTTGCTTTAGAAATAGTATACAATGACTACTTTTCCCTTCTCAATTTTCTAGCAGTAAAATTAGCAGGAAAAGAGGAGAAAATATGCAAGTAAATACAATATATATTTGACTCGCATATAACACTGCTTTACAATACTTACTTTGACATAACACTGATTTTTCTCAAATGGTATGGCAATTTTACCCCAAAGTGCCAAGCCATATAATAAGCAGTATTAACACTTAAGAATTAGCACTCAATTTTAATTTGATAATGTTAATTCAATTTTGTATATACAGTCAAAAGTCTTTAATCCGGACTCGGCGATTCCAGATTATCGGGTTTTCCTTGGATTATAGATCATCAGTTTAAATCTGGTAAAATGGCATGCAGAAATTATAAAATTAAAAATATGAAACCTTAATTTATGTAATAAAGAGCAATTATGATCTAAAGGGTATCAAAAAATTACAAAAAAAAAAAAAAAGCTTAATATTTATTGTTTACTTTATTAAAACATTTCTTTCAATGTGAGTTGTTTAAGTTGCTTCGTTTCATGTGCTAATACTTTCTCTTTAATTCTATAAACAGACATACTTTCTTGTTCAGTTACAAAGTTTCGCTGTTCAAGTCCTATAATTGCTGTGTCGAGAATACCGACTAATTTGTCAATCGAAATTTTTTCGTTTTTCAATAACCTCTCTGTCACTTTTTTCAGTATTGGAAGCAGTACATTGAAACATGCTTTCGCTTAGTAGATACTTTGGCAGCTCCAGAATCAGAAACTCTTTTTAACATAATCAAGCTTACTTTTTATAAATTGCTCTAACAGTCTGCAAAAAATAATAAGACGGATCCAAATAGAGAAGATTAAGGAACAGTGCAATCTGCAACATTAACTGAAATAAATAATTAGATAATTTTAGCCTAGTTTATACCGTCCATTATGCATTAAATGCACATGCATAAACGTATTATGCGCATGCGTAAAGGTATTATGTGCATGCATAAATGCATAATGCGTTTACGTATGCGCAGAAAGTTTGTAGCTTTGAGGTCTGAATTATAGATTATTCTGGATTATGGACGTCTGGATTAAAGACTTTTGACTGTATTTGATATCACTTTTTAAAGTAAACTTCCTTGTTTTATTATTTCAACTTTATGTTTAATCAAAACAACATTCAAGAAGTTTTTCTCATTTATTTTAAAAATTCAGAATTACAACTTATAAAAATTTGCAAAAGAAAATATTTTTAAGGTATATTTTGAAAAATAGAATTTTTTTAAAAAAATTTGAAGATATGCAAATTTAGATAGTAAAAATGATTGCCGATTACTTAAAAATGGCATAGGATTAAGTGGCAAAAGATGCCAAATCGGAAGATGATTGCATTTTGAACTACTAATATTCTTTTCACCTGGTTTTATTTCTCATTCTAGTTTTTTCAATGAAATTTAACAGATTGCTTTTTTCCATTGTAATATTATTTTAATTTACAAAAAACATCAAATTAGCAATTTTTCAAAATTGTAATAGTATTAATATTTTAATGGAAACTGATTAAATACAGAAGTAGAAATTTTGTTTACTTTCATTAACTACTGGCAGATTTTACTTGCAGATACTTTAAAAGAGCATTTTTCCCCCACCTAAACGTATCTAATTTTTTCTTTTAAACAGCTGAATAGTACTTACTAAAAATATAAATATAGATTAAAATAAAAAAAGACCATCTATCAAATTTGCATAAAATCCATAATGATATGCAGCATATGTTTCCCCAAATTGCCTATTTTAATAAACTTAGGCTTTTTAAATACGAGGGTAAGGTGAAATGCTCTCAGCCTGACCAAGAGATGGCACTCCAATCAGCAGAATTTATGTATACTGCCTGGGTTAAGTGTCTTAGTTCATATGACAAGTTTGAACTTGTTCTCTTAAGTAGTTCCTTTAAACGAATTTTCGCAGTAGACATCTTGCGTGTTATTCATTAAAATGAATAAACTTGAATATTGTAAAGTCATAAAATTCTTCAATTTTGATGGATTAAGCCCTAAGGAAATTCATCCGAAGTTGATAAAAGTTCACACAGACCTAGCTCCTTTCATGTCAACCATTAAAAAGTGAGCAGCTGAATTTAAACGTGGTGATACATCTCTCAAAGATGACCCATGTGAAGATCGGGCAAACACTGCAACCATGCCGAAAACCATCGAAAAAGTGCACAATATCGTGTTGGATGATAGGCAAGTGAGGATGAGTGAGATAGCTGAAGTTGTGGGGATATCGGAAGAAAGAGTGAGAAAGAATTAGGGATGTGAAAGCTCTGTGCAAGATGGGTGCCGCATTTGCTAAATGCAGATCAAAAGTAAATGTGCAAACGATTTTGACAGCAATCTTTGGACCGATTCAACAGGGATCCTACCGATTCTATGCGGCAATTTATCACCATGGATGAGACATGGGTCCATCATTACATGCCAGAAATGAAATAACAGTCCAAGCAGTGGGTGGAAGATCCTGGTTGTGTCAAAGAAAGCGAACGCAATCGCATCTGCTGGAAAGGTCATGGCCAGTGTGTTTTGGGATGCGAAAGGGAGTCTATTAATTGATTATTTTGCAAAAGGGAGAACAATTACAGGCAAATATTACTCCAACCTTCTTGACCAGCTGGATGCCATAATTCACGAGAAAAGACTTAGCATAATGAAAAAAACTCATCTTTCACTGGGACAAGGCACGGTTGATCTTTACAATATGGTAACTGGTAGTTTGGCGACATTTTGGAGGTGATAAAGGCACCTCCTGGCACTTTGGTAATAATGTGAGCAGTACTCAGTTCCGATTACGCATTATTTTGTGTGAGGGAAATGAGAGATCATGGGATATGTCATGTGAATTTAATGGACGAATTACGGTTCTTTAATCGGAAGGGGGGGAGAAATTGGGAAAAATCTGGAAATTTGTATTGGCTTTATTCTTGTTGTGTGAAACAGTGTTCCTGAATTTTTGGATCCCATGGCCGTAACTAAAGTGAATTCGAAATGGGTATTTATGTATGTATTAATTTAATGTATGTGCTCATTATTTTTAAGTAGTGTTTTTGAAATTTCATATTGTTAATTAAATGATAGTTTTTGTGAATTTTATGTTTGTAGGAATTTGTATACGTTTTAGTGAGTAAACGGCATGAAATAATGTTAAATATCTGACAATATTGTAATGTTGCGGTATGAATTCGTTGGTGACGTGTATAATGTAATAGATGATTTAGAGGTAAAGTTTTTGGATATTTTATTTATTTTATATGTGGAATGTTCATTAGTTTTTCGCGATCAGGTAATTTCATATATGTTCTTTTTTACCGGGTTTAAAGATTGAGAAAATTGTCATGTATTTTCATGAAATTTTTCTAATTATGAGAAAAAGCAGTGTACACGGATATGGAAGATTGTGCGCAATGCCATTTTTGTGCAATTCTGGGATGTTTTTTTAAGTAAAAAAAGTCGGCGTGTACATGGTTTAGTGAATTTTAATAAATGATAGTTATTTTGTGAATTTTAATATTGTAGGAATTGGCATACGTTAAGTGAAGTAACGTGCTGGAAAAATTTAAATATTTGATACTAAGTATTTGTAATACTTGCGGTATGAATTCGTTGGTGACGTGTATAATTTATAGATGATTTAAGGTAAAAGTTTTTGGATATTTTATTTATTTTATATGTGGAAATGTTCATTTTGAAAGGGTAAATACTTTTTCGCGATCAGGTAATTTCATATATGTTCTTTTTAACCGGGTTTAAAGATTGAGAAAATTGTCATGTATTTTCGTGAATTTTTCTAATTTATGAGAAAAAAGCAGTGTACATGGATAAGTGAAGGGTGTGCGCAATGCCATTTTGTGCAATTCTGGGATTTTTTTTAAGTAAAAATAAGTCGGCGTGTACATGGTTTATGTGTATGTGTTTATTTTGAAAAACGCGTAAGGAGTATGTATGTGCACTTTTCCCAATTTTTGCAGTGAATATTTGTCATGATTAAGCAGTTTTGTTAGATAAAATTTCTAGCATAAGTGTAATTCGGCTAGTAGATTGTTGGAAGAAGTGTTCAGTAGATAAAAAGAAAAGAAACATGTCTTTCTTCGTGAAGACAATGGCGGCGGGAAAAAAAAATAGAGGGTTGCTGTAGGAGAGTTGGTCGCCAAATTTTCGCCAAAAAAACGCCAAGTTACCATAATGTAAAGATCAACCCAAGGCACCTGTGCGTAAGGGTGTGTGATGGGAAGACTGGGATTTGAGGTACGATTTGCTCAGCCATCCTCCTTGTTCTCTTGATTTGAAATCAGACCCTCAGACTTCCAACTGTTCCCAAACTTGAAGAAATTTGTTTCTGGGAAGCACTTTGCATCCAATGAAGAAGAAAGGATTGCAGATGAATAATTTTACAATGTTCCAGACTCTCACAGGGTTCATAAACATTTCTGCACATGGAAATTAAGTACTTTTAAGGACCATTAATGGAAAAAATTAAGGACCTATGAGAAAAGGAACTGAATAATTCAATTAAAAAACATTATTATGCCTAATTTCATTTGTAATACCACCCTAAAAATAAAATAATCTTAGTAGTATGCATTATTACTAAACTAGTAATTAACATAATTATTACCGTATTGACGGAATATAAGACGCACCCATTTAGAGGCCACACACAAGGAAAGAAGTTTCATAGGCGTGGTTTCTTTTAGTTCTCACTTTCGTAAAAGCCAATAACGATTATTGAATGCAATTACCTTCACGTATAAGACTACTGTTCCTTAACGTATAAGACGCAGTACTTTTTGAACCAAATTAAAAAAAAAAAGTGCTCTTATATGCGTCAAATACGGTTAAGTTGAAATAAATTAATTTTATGTATATTATCAAGTCATTAAATATTTTACATATATAATAGGGACATTTTGAAAGAAGATAATTGGCATTTACTAACAGTTAGCTTTATGTTGATTTTTTTTGTCTCATTTTGTCACATACTTGGTCAGTGTAGAGGTAGGCACTAGGCAGCAGAATTTAGGATCCACAGAGATTGCACTAGGTGGGAAAATACTTAGTGACAGCTATAGGTATCATGCATTAAGACATATTAGATGAATCTTTTAAATTGTAAGTTTTCAATTTCCTTATTAATAAAAAAATCCCTTTCTATAATGCCTGCCCATGTTATAAGATTAGAAGCATATTTGATATTTTCCATGCTTGTGTCTAGAATAGCAGGAGCACTACAAATTTAGATGTGCCTGTAAGTCCTTCAAAACTTAACAGAAGTGTTGTGTCACCAAATAGTAAAAGAGGTACAGTATCATCAAATTTTTCAAATGGACTATGTTACTCGATCTAGTAGGACTGTTAAACCTTATTATTTAAAAGAATATGTTTAGTTTTACTATTATTATTATTTTTGATAAAAAAAGGGAGGTGTTATATATGTAACTGTATCTATTATTATCTTTAATCATAACTGTACAATAGAATAGTAGATGAGCAATGTAGAATAAACGATGTTTGTGTATATCTTGTAATCATCACTGAGCACATATCCAACATATATAAAAAACAATGCAAACACTACAAATTACTTGCGTGAATTCTAGAATTCTAAATTATTTAAATGAATTTATATTTATGTGCATAAAAAAAAGTTAATTTTTATTACAAGTATTCATTTCAGAATTTACTTTAAATATCAGTTACTTCATCTCCACATTTTTCATTTAGCAATGTAATTTTACATTAAAAATCATATTACATATTTTATGTATAATGGACAAAAATCGAGTATGTATTATTTTTAATAATTAGTCAATGCAATTCTTTTTTTTATCTTAGTTCTTACAGAAAATATTTAAAAATAAGTAATAAAACAACTACATAATAAACAAATTTACAGAATTCACTTCTATAAATTACACAAAATCATATGCATGTTACACTACAGTAAATAAGTTTATTCTGTTTTAAAATTCAATAATAAATTACAAATATTCACATAAAGAAATGATTTATTGCCAATCCTACATTCAGTGCACTATTAAACATATATATACATTTTTTACGAAATAAAAACAAAACAAAATCTGAAATTCTATAGCTTTCATTCCCATGAAAGATGGTCATAATTTAAATTTAAAAATAAAGAAATAAATAACCATAAATTAAATAGAAGCATTAATGGAGATTATAATAATTGCTTCAGAAATATTTCTTTTAGAACATTTCTGCTACTTAAATCTAAACTAATTCTAAAATTTTCTTATCTATAATATACAGAATGCTCTCCAGCTTTACTTATAAACATAATCACTGGATGATTTCTTTAATAAATAGTTTATAGATACGTAAATGCATATTGCAAAAAATTCTTACACTGAATTATACACGCAACGAACTCTTGAGAGTTCAAGCTTCCAACAAACAACAACAATTAGAGCAATACTCACCAAATTTTTAAAAATAATCTCATAAAAGTTTCATAAATATTGATATGTCTCATAAAAGAACAGGTAGGTACATGAAAGATCGACTGTTAAGACATTGATTGCAAGTGCATGGACACACGTTTCTACCATCAATTAATGGCTTCATTTATTTACCTAATAGTACTTTCATTGCCATAGGGGAAAATTAAATTTCAAAGTCAAGGAAACAAAAGCAAAATGTGCTTATGCACGTTGTAACCTGTGCATGCATACGATAATTAAAAAATCATATAACATGCAAAACAATCTGTACAATGTAGTACAACAAACTACTCGAATAGCATGTTGGTATACATACTTTTTCGACGATCGCTCATATTCTTTCGCATGGTTTCACATTATAATTGAAATTCAGTTAATAATACCCGATAAAACTATGTTAAAATTCAATCTGCAATCACTTAGAATTGTATTATTATCTCATATTGTCACTGAAAATGAGAAAACTCAAGCCATTACTACAAACGGTTACGACTAAACAAATGTAAAACGCGGAAAAGTCGCGAAAACTAAAATATATTTATTAATAAACATTTTCTTCAGAATTTAAAAAAAAAAAGCCAAAAAGCACCAAAAAATTAGTCCTTAAAGGACAAAGC